TGGGGATGTTAATAGTAGAATTCAAGTTGGTTGGTTGAAGTGGAGGAATGCTTCGGGCCTTTTGTGTGATAGAAAAGTAACGCTAAGACTGAAAGGAAAATTTTATAAGATGGTGGTGAGACCTGCAATGCTCTATGGCGTTGAATGTTGGCCTTTAAAAGAGAAGCATAATAATAAGTTAAGTGTTGCCGGGATGAGAATGATTAGGTGGATGAGTGGCTTTACACTTAGAGACAAAATGCGGAATGAATATATTCGTGATAGGGTTGGTGTAGCTCCTGTGACAGACAAAATTAGAGAAAGTCGTCTTAGATGGTTTGGTCATATTAAACGTCGACCATTAGATGATCCGATTAGGAGAGTAGATGTTTTAAATTCGACTTGTGTTAAGAAAGGCAGAGGTAGACCTAGGAAGACTTGGGCTTATTGTATTAAAAATGATCTTAATTTACTAGAACTAAATGAAAATATGACACTAAATAGGACGCAATGGAGAAAAAGGATTCATGTAGCCGACCCCACGTAGTGGGATTAAGGCTTTGTTGTTGTTGTTGTTGTTGTTGAACGTTGACGACAGCTTGTCCAATATTGAAGTGTTTTTCGAGGATTCAAATCACGGGGAATACAATGAGGTCAAAGCAAACTTCTTTATCTTATGACCAATAATATGCAAGTCATTTGTCGGACAATGGGCATGAAGACTGTTACGGTACTCATTCAATAATGCAATAAGGCTTCCTTCATGGCCGAGATTTCAACAGTCAACCATATTGAGCAAAACATTTTGAATAACATAATGTCTAAACCTGTAATTGGGTCTGGAACTACAATTTTGTGTGACCACCTAAAATATTCAACAAATTAGTATGACCAAAGGGGCAAGGCTTCTTATTATTTACAAGTGGACATTATTTTATACTTGAGACTATCCTAATGCTCAACAAGGGCAATTGACGAGCCAAAATATTGAACTGGCATGAACAGCAGAAAATCTTGGGCATGATTGGCTCTACAAGACGACAAGATAGCTTGATAATGAAGAGTGAGTTTAGATGCATCTAAATTTTTACCACCTCGGGAAAGTATGTGTATTCCAAAAAAAAGATTTTAGTTTTGGGATTAGTGGAAGGTGAATTTATATGGCGTGAGAAGTGAAAGTAAGGCAAGCTTGAGGCCATATAATGTTATTTTAAAAGAGGCATTAGTATGAATATTGCTCATTTGATGGAAGATGTGATTTTGGAGTGCCTTAAAGTGCATCGAGGATGGGACATAGTCAAAAGCATGTACATCATTGTGCAAAGAGTGAAGACCATCCTGGGCCTACCGACGCAAGCTCAGCGTAATAAGAGCTCATCGTAAGGACCTTTGAGCAACTCAAGAAGATCCGTCAAAGCAAGAGCCTTACTTACCCAGATGTGCCAGAGCTCATACAAAATGATTGATCGCCAAAAATAAGACCACCAAGAATTTTGAATTAGTCTAGATTCACCAAAGCATTGAGGATCCTCAATTGGCTAAAAGATTTTGGTCTTTGAGACATTGAGGTAGACACCATATTCAGGGCCAATCGTCTAAATATTTTAAGGCTTTCACTACCTTCGTAGTGTCTTTGATGAAAGTGCCAGTGTCTAATGGCCATGAAGTCGGTCACACTTAACTTAAGCCAGCCAATGACTGGGTAGAGAGGGTCACTTGCCAGACATATATTGAGGAGAGTTGGCGATCATGTTTCATGCAAATATTTGTTGTTTCACCATAGGTGAACTAGAGCCTGCATAAAATTGAGGGACAACAGTCCCTGACCTCTTTAAACATTTTTGACCTATTCACGATAGTCCATGCATTTATGAAACCAAAGCCATTGTGAATATATTTTGGGTTGCTTTCCATGGACAAGTTGATGCACTGTCTGATAGATAGTCTCAACACTCACAGGAATTCCAACACCAAACTCGTAGGATTATAATTTGTATGACTGCCGGATCTTCCTTGTCTAGCGAATTCTTTCTTTTATGTGATTTCAATATTCTTGAGAGAATCATTTCTTGACGCTTACCTCAAGCTTGAATCCGAAGGAGCTATAACTCCCAAATTCCATCCTAAAATTTACAGCATTTTGAACTTTGTCTTCATGATTTTGTACGGTTTAAACCTTTCTTTTGCTTTAGGTTCAATTAAATAGAAACATGAAATTCAAAAAAGAAATCACCATCATCGGCTAGTATTAAATTAATATTATATTAGCTTTCTTTCATGTCATTCTCTCTCCCTCCCTCCTTCCCTCTCTCTCTCATGTGGTGTTGAAATGCATACTCTATAAATTTAGCATCTTGAATTGTAGTGGGATTGACTTAAAACTAAATAATAAACTCATGATTTTCTTAGCACATGTGATTTAATCGCCAATTATTGACTTTTTTTCTAGCTATCTTTAATAATCCGACTTTTTTTATGTTTAAAGAATGAATGGAGAATATTAGAATTTTGTATTGGTATATTTATTTAAATATTTAAAAGGAAAAGGCCCGACTTTAATTAACTTGTGTGGTTCTGAAAATTGAACTAGAGTGGGCAGTTAAATCAGACAAACCTCGAAGTGGCCCTCAAATTAGTTTTGTCCAATTAAAAAATTAGGATAAACTCATGAAAATTGGGAGCGATTGAACCAATATGGTTTGAATTTGCAATAGATTGGGTGGAATGTAATATTTTTTGAATTATTTTATGTATATGCATTTATTTTAGGATGCATATGAGAGATACATATCATCACTTTTTTATCATCAAGAATGAAAATGCGACATCATTTAAATAGTTTTAATAAGAATACGGCATTTAAATAGTTTTAATAAGATATAAATCTTCATGATCGAACTTTGAGCCTTTCCTTCCATCAATACACTTTTGGTTTGGTTTTAAAAAATTTTATTTCAAGAATGTTGTTTGGTTTATGCTTCAATATGAATTTGTGGCATATGATTTTAATATCTTGTATTTAAAATTTTACCTAATCCCCTTACCCCATTAGTGAAGTAGCTTTTATTTGACCTGGTAGTGTACTACTTAAATCGGTGGTGGTTGTTACTGTGAGCAGAGGCAACTCAGCCAACTTGTGCAAACCATCCGCAACTAAAGATTATTTTTGCTACATCAAAATTTTAATGAATCAACTGTTGTCCTTTTTCTTAAATTGGGTTGCAGACTAGTGTTTATGCAGTGTCAAATTTCCAAATTTTCATTGCTATCCTTGAAGAACTGCACTTTTGGTCTTTTAATTGTTGTTGAGGCAAAATCTCTCAAGGTACAATAAAGGCTATGAGCGAGGAAGAGAATCTTAAGAGTATGCAATTTGGTATATATATGAAAAAGGCAAGACATAGATGAATGAAAAAGCTATCTCAGTGATTCATTTATTTGATAGATGAGGACTTGAGGGAAACGACCATGGCAGAAATGTGACTAAAATTAATGTTTTTTAACATGAACAATTTCTTCTTCAACAAGCTTTTTATCAAAAGCAATTGTATTTTCTTCACTTACAGAAAGACACTTATTAATCACATCTTAATGTAAGTGTTGATGGATCCATTGTCAACCTAGAACTTTGGGACATTGGATGTATTTTGATGGATTCTTAAACTTTTGATTTTTATCTCCTTTTTCTGGTTGGTTCTTAGGCCAGGAAGGTTAAATAAGAGTGTTACAAAGCAGCTGATATTTTTCTTCCTGCATTAGCGGGTCTTTTCTTGGATTACTTGGAGCGCTTATTTTTTTGGCTCATAGGCTGAGGGAAGAAGTTATGGAAGAGAAGAAAATTCTGGAACCAGTGAAGAAAATATATAAATGAAATATAAGGAGTGCAAATTTCTAAGAAATCTACGGAAACAACTGAAACAATAATAAAAACTTGCTTTGAGGAAACTGATGATGAACATGATTGTATAAACATAAATCATGGCGAACTTTTGATATTTTGATTGCCAAGAAGGTAAGAATTCACTTTAGATGAACAAACAGGGAGATAAGAGGTTATCTATAAATTGGACTGATGAATGCTTCGAAGGAGCAAATATCAGGTATGTTATCCCCAATATCATCGATCTGCACCTATTTGCAACTAGCTCGTTCTCAGGTAATATTTTTACACTTCTAAGAGGGTAAGAGGCGGAGAAAGAAAGCATGAAGAAACTTTATGGTTAAAAAAAGGGAGGATGCTACCTGAATTATAACCTAAACCTATTATTTTTTTATTAAAAAAATTATTCTACTAAAATTAAAATAATGATTAGCATATACAAAATGATGGATAACATATTACCATTAATAATTAGAACAAATAAATAATAAATTCATTAAATAAAACAACCAATTATAAGTGTACCAATTCACCAATTCTGAAACAAACCATCGATAACTAAAAGCGAACATTTTCACTGCATCGCTTTTAAATTTTCTATTCTATGTTGCGGCCTTAGAAAGCACTCCTGAAGTTTGCCTACATCTACGACTTATTAAGAATTTTAACTTTTTACTTGAATTTACACAATTATACTCAAAATAGTGACATATTTGCTGTATATATCGAATCATAATCAAGCAAGCTTAATATTTATTTTTTTCTTGCAGAGGAGAAGATGGAGTTCCTATTTCAAGCTATACTGGTGCTTTGGATCCCATCATCACGGCAGACGCATCAGCCATGCAGTCCTCGTTCCCACACCACCACCACAACAGGTTACTGCTCCTCCACCGGAAATCACCAGCCACCCACCATCCCTTGTCAGGCCATTCATCGCACCCCCTTCTTCTCCTGTTTCTTTCCTGCAGTCTGGACCTCCATCCGCCACTCTATCACCAGCTGGTGGAATAACTCTCTCTGCTCTTTCTGCTGACATCTACTCCCCTGGTGGCCGTCCTTCTATCTTTGCCATTGGACCCTATGCCAATGAAACTCAGTTAGTCTCACCTCCAGTTTTCTCAACTTTCACCACAGAACCATCTACCGCACCCTTCACTCCACCCCCTGAATCCGTTCAATTTACCACTCCCTCTTCTCCCGAAGTTCCATTCGCAAAACTTTTGACCTCAGTTTATTCCAACTCCAAGAAAAACGTTTCACAAGAGCTCAATTCTTACCATCTTATATCGCCGAGCACCCTTCCTTCAGGCACTTCATCTCCTTTTCCTGATCGCGAGTTCCATTCTTCCCGAACGGGTTCGTTTCCCAAACACATGGACAGAACAGATTTCCATGAGCTGGTTACCCGCCGTGCCTCTAGGAACAGCCACTCTCTTTTTAATGGACAGAACACAACGCTCAACCCAACTATGGATACAACCAGTAATGGCCAGGGAAATGAGCCTGCTTTGGCTCATAGAGTGTCGTTTGAGCTAACTGCGGAAGAGGTGACACGATGTCTGGACAGAAAACCAATTCTCTCTTCTGAAGCTGCATTGGAATTTCCAGTTCCTGTGAGCAAAACCTCAGTTGGTAGGGAGCAGGACGAAGCTGATGGCATTCATGATGACATTTCCTTTGTTGGGACCTCCAATGACTCCCCGAGCTCTGCTCTGTTAGCCGTTAAAGAATTCAAATTCAGCAATTCGGAGAGAGTGGAATCAGACTGGTGGGCAAATGAGAAAAAATTCGGGATGGAAAATACTACTAAGAATAACTGGGCATTTTTTCCCTTGATCCAGCCTGGGATGAGCTGATCAGTACTTTTTGTCATATGACCTTGAAAGCACGAGTTTTTCAGCATTTATATCTCGGGGTTGCTTTCTGTTTTTATTCTGGTTCATTGCTAAAATTTTGGGGGGCATGCGATATTAGAGGGAATTTCCAGGTCCAAGTGAGAACAATGTGATGAAGTTGATTGCTGTGTTGTATATATATATTTTTAACCATTTTAGAAGCAACTGAAATGTTTTGTACATTATACTGCTGTGGATTTATGCATCCCCTGCAGCATATTTTTCTCCAAAGGTTAAACTGGTATTTTGCTGTATATGCTTTCTATTCTAGTGCCCTGCAATAAGTATGTATGCATCTCTCTCTCTCTCTCAAAGCCACGAATATGTTTTTTGGCCGGACTTACCGTTCTTCTCTCTTTAATTTCTTCATCTGTAGGAGGCAGTGATCGGACATGTTGCTTATGCCCTGACGGTTGAATTTTGAATTATTTTTTTTAAGACGTTGAATTCGAGTAATTTATTTTGTTGATCATGGTTTAAAGTTTCAAAAAATGCTAGAGGCGTTCTTCATCAACCTTTTTTTAATTGCGAACTTTACATATCTAAAGTTATAACATATCGTGTTTAAAAATCTATTTATAAAGCGATGTATTTTAGTTTTAAAAAATGTCGATGCTAGTGATATTTCTTGTGATATGAAAGATTATAGTTTTATGTACGTAAATATGAGAGTTTTGGTGCTAGATTTGTGAATATATGAAAACTGTGTCGCATGTATGTCATTGTCCTTTTTTTTGTGTGGCCTGAGGCCATCCTTTAGTTGACTGTCTACCTCATCCTTTCCACCCAACTATTGTACGATATGTCCTGGAGGCGCCTATGGATGGCCAGCTTCTGAAAAATTATGTATGAAAAATAACTAATTTTTTTTGGGAATTGGAATGCCTACACGTTAATACGGTCCGGACCGGTCACAGCGTGATTCACAACAATTTTGGTCGCATTCGAATCATTGTCTTGACGTACACTTAATAACTTTTCCTAAAGAAGTTGGAAAATCTCAATGGATGTAAAATTGAAAGCTTGAAAAACTATGATGAACCCAAAAAGACTATAAATGTAATAAAAGAAAATAATAATAATAATAAATAATAAAAATGTACTGGTGGTTGGAAGAGTCAACCCTCAAGAAATCATAACAGTTACCCGATTCAACGAACGAGCGAACGAGAGATACCGGGAGAGAGAAAAAGAGGAGAAGCTATTGTGCCCTAGTCGAAAAAGAAAGAAGTCGCAGGAAGAAGTGTGTGACCAGTGTGTAATGTCCGGTCGTGTGAAGGAGAAAATGAATGACAAGAATTTGCGGCATTGTGTCAAGACCAAAGGCAAAGGAGGCAGAGGGAGGCGACGACATCAAAGGCTTACTTTGACCAAGGAACGACCGAGGAGGAAACTACATCTTCTTATGTTGGCATAGTGCGAAGGAGAATTGTCAAAGTTTTGAGAAAAATAGGTTGAATTCTGAATAGGCTGATTCATTTTCCCCTTGCTTTCATTCTATTAAATAATAATCTTACAACCTATTTTAGATAAAGAAGATTATGTAAAATCTATTTTAAGTAACTTAATAATGCATATTCATAATCTAAATATTCCGCTAAAAAAGAAATATATCAGAATAAAGGCATTGAAAATAATTTAAATAAGGAAGCTTCTAATTATAGAAAACTCCTAATTTAGTTGCCTTATTTTCGCCCTTCTTGATTGACACCCTCCCTCAAATTGATGTTGATTGATCAAGAAACATCAATTTGCCAACAAAAAACTGATAAAACTGACAGGAACAACAATCTTCGAATCGTAAGTGCCGAAGCCGAAAGTGTCAAAAATGAGAATGTTGAAGCTTTAGAGACAACTCCTGAACCATAATATGATTTGAGAAAAGAAAAACAAGAAATCTTTTATCATTGTCGTCCAGAAATTTGAATCATAGCCACAAGAAGGATCTGCTTCCAGTTACACGATCCAAATGCTACCGATCATATCCCACAAATAGGATCCTGTTACACGATCCAAATGTTATCGATCATAGCCTACAAGTAAGATCTACGTCCTGATCCAAATGCTACCAATCATATCCCACAAATAGAATCTAGTTACACGATCTTGATCCTATTGATCATAACATACAAGTAGGATTCGCGTCCTGATCAAAACGCTACCGATCATAACCCACAAATAGGATCCAATTATATGATCCAGATGTTATCGATCATATTCTACAAGTAGGATCTACCTCATGATCCAAATGTTACTGATCATAGCCCACAAGTACGATTCAAGTCTTGTTATACTATCCAAATGCTATTGATTTTTCCTATCATGATAAGGACGATTTGTTCCTTGATCTTCAAGCCAAAAGTGCTGATGTCAAAGTCGTGAGTGTCGAAGATACTACATAAGCAGCGATGACTAGCGAAGAAGATCTGAATCAGACAAATGATGATACAAACATAACAACCCTTTTCAACTCAAGAATCTTTATACTCCACAATCTTTATACTAAGAATCTTTATACTCCACAATGAATGGATTTTGCACTTTAGAATAAGTTCTATCTCTTGGCGAGCAAACCTACGACATCTATTTGTCTGTTGAGCAAGTCTGATATTCTTCAAGACATAATTCTTCTTTTCCACATTGTTCTTCACGAGAAGAGTAGCAAACATTTCATAAAGATCCATAATTCTTGTGAAACGCACGATTCCAGAAATCGCAGAAGCTAACCACCGAAGCCATAAAGGTGCAACCTGAAGTTTGAGGGCATAAACAACATCTATGACTGTGACGACCTTTTTGCGAGCATGTTCGGTGTAGGTCACCGTGTCGCGGATGACGTTCTCAAGGAAGATCTTGAGCACCCCTCGCGTCTCCTCGTTGATCAGAGCACCAATGCGCTTCATGCCACCGCGGCGAGCGAGGCGACAGATCGTTGGCTTGGTGATGCCCTGGATATTGTCTTGGAGAAATTTACGGTGGCGTTTGGCTCCACCCTTTCCCAAGCCCATACTTTCCTTGCCTCGGCCCGACATTGTTTCCTAGATTTGACGAATTGAAGTTATTTTTCTTTCACTGAATGGTAGGAGGCAGATGAACCAATTGAAGATGAAGCAGACGAAGTAGAGGGAGCGAGCACAATTGAAGAAGCTGACAAAGAAATTAATTGAGCGAACAACTGAGGCATACGAGTAAGCAAAGCAGTGGAAGCAGGGGAAACAGTCCAGGAGACCGAACAGTTTTGGTCGAGCGAGCCAAATGAGCAGGAGAACAGTCCAGACGAAGCCGCCGAAGCATTCAAGCCGTGCAGATGAACCAGACAGGGTTTTAGACAAATCAGAGCGATAATTAAGGCAAATAAATAATTCATCCTTTCCTGTCCGGTAAGAAGGCCGGTGGAAAGGGAGCCTTGACGGTCCTCCAAAGATTTACTCCAACAATTATCGGTGGTTAGGGCAAAAATTTGACTCTGATACCATGCCAAAGTTTTGAGAAAAATATACTGAATTTTGAATAGACTCGATGTCTTTTCCCTTTGCTTTCATTCCATTAAATAATAATCTAACAATCTATTTTAGGTACAAAAGATTACGTATAATCTATTTTAAGTAACTTAATATAATCTATTTTAACTATTTTAAGTAACTTAATAATGCATATTCTTAATCTAAATATTCAGCTAAAAGGGAAAAAAATCAGAATAACGACATTGGAAATAATTTAAATAAGGAAGCTCTTAATTTAGCTGTCTGATTTTCATCCTTCTTGATTGACAAGAAGAAGCTGAAGAAGAGGAGTAAGAAAAAGATCTTTTACTCTATCGAGTGGAGAAGGAGAGTCGGTGATCACGTCTTGTTTTGGATGGCACAGAGACCGAAGTAGAACAAGAAGGGAAAAGCTCCCTGCTGCTGAATTCACGTGAGTTAGGGCAGGCCGAAACCTTTATAACATATATGAGATTTTATACAGGTTATTTAAGAAATGTTAATATAAATTTTACTTGAATAAGAAATTGAAGAATTGATAAATTATTGGGATTTGAGAATGGGGTGAATCAAGACATTTAAAGAAGGATGAGCTAAAGATTTATAAGTTATATGTGTTAATTATGTAAATTTGGCTTAATTAAAGGTGTTGTTAGTTGCATATCAATATATTCCATGAATTAATTTTACTAATTTTAATTTATCAAACAGTTGAATTAAAGAACTATAAAGAGGACAAAATGTTGGGGAGAAGTATTGTGACGTGATAGGTATTTCAAAGGTCTCTTATAGCTAAAGTGAGTGATTATTTTTTTATGCATTAAATTAATATTTAATTAAATGAATAATTACAATAAATGATTTAGAACCAGTACTTCATTCATGGATTTCATTTTGAAAGTATGAAATAGTATATAGAATGGAAAAAAAAAATAACATACTAATGAATGTACATTTTAAATGGTTTTAACTTTTAAATTCATATGAAATGAAAGATAATGGTTTTAGTCATACAAGATTACTCCCAGATGGTACTGACCGGAGATGCAATGTACTTGTGCTTGCTAAAGGAAATGGTAAATGTGTGACTTTTGGTGCAAATTGAGGGTACATTCGGGTACATTTTTAAGGGTGTCTTCAGATACATTTTTTGGATACTTTGTGATGACTATTAAAAAGGTTAAATTAGTAAATCCTTAAAGTGAAATGGGAATGGATAAATTTAAAGTTTTAATGAAATGAACTTCATTTTCTTTTAGCATTAACGCATAGCATAATATAAAAATTTAATGCATATTAGATTATAAATACTCACTAAGTTATATTTATGGTTGTAATTAATGTCTTCTTTCAAGAGAAGAAATGTTTTAGGTTAATATCTCGTAGGAGAGATTTGATTTATATGAGAAAGACTGCAACAGATAGATACTAGTTATGATATGTTCGTAGTTTTTGTTTATTGTTTCCTTCATTTGTTATTCAATACTAGTTTGAGATGTGGTTTTCAGATTATGTTCATATGTCAGAATATTTAATTTTTATTGAACGCGTGGATTAGTGGCACTTTTATATATGAAAGTTTCTGAAACATTTTGTGGAAAGTAAAATGAAATATTAATATTGTTGGACCACAATTCCAATCTTAGTTAATTTTAAACACCGGGTCGGGTTGTGACAAAAATGGTACCATAGCAATTATGTTTGATCATGATCTAAAAAAGCCATTATGATGCTTACTTTAATTCATAAATAATATTAATAAGGAATTAAATTATATCTAATTATAATCTCTTTTATGTTATTTTAGAAATATGAAAAATCAGGAGGAATAAGTTAAAGATGATATTGTAGAAGTTGATGTACCCCCACATATTACTATGAATACAAATAAATTTACAGAGATGATGATTGCAATAACGCAATTGATTAAAAACTCTCAGACTAAAGCCAATTTTAGGGGAGGAGGCCAGATGGATAATTACATGAAATTGTTTCAAGAGGCGGTTCAATGGATGCCGAAAACTAGTTGCTGAGAGTAGAGAAAAATCCTAGATGGATTTTCTTGTCCTCTAGAGAGGATAGTTACACTGACTACATTTGCATTAGAGGTAGAAAGTAGAGAGATGATGACCTGGACAACTGCAGATAAAATTTTGGGGTAGAGCCAACTACATGATTTAATAGGGCGAGTTTGTGAGCTCCTTTAGAGATTGGTTCATACAACTGTTTGCTAGGAGACATATGCATGACAAGTTTATTTGCTTAGTACACGACGATCTCTCAATAATGAAGTACGAGGCATAACTCACCATGCTTTCTATATATGCACCTCAATTGATTCCTAATGTTGAGGAGAAGTGTCACCAATTTTTGTATAGGCTCAGGGTTGTGATTAGACAACCATTGATTCCTCTTGGAATCAATGATTTCTCTGTTCTTATGGAGAGAGCTAATAGGATTGAGCTGGATCTAGAGGCTACTCAGAGGAGGAGGGATATTCATGTGAGAAGAATTTCAAAGGGATCCAAGTTTCCTCAGAGCTCTCAGAGTAGACAAATCCTTTCAGTTAGTTAGTACAAATGCTAACAAGGCTAGATCCAATAGTTTTTAAACTTAGTTTAAGGCAATAAAAAGTGAAAAATGTGGAAGGTCTCATGAGTGGGAGTCTATCTGAATTAAATACCTGATTTTGGTGCCATCAACCAGAACATATGACAAAGAATTACCCTAAATTGGGTCAGAGAGCTCTAGTAGATTCGAGAGACACTGCTGCACCACTTCAGAGGAGCTATGGTAGGCCGATGTCAGCTAAATTTTTAGAAGTAGTACCAAATGTAGGTCAAATTCATCAGAATGTTCAACCTAGAGTTTATGCTCTTTCGCGACAATAAGCTAAGGACTCCTCTGATGTTATTAGATGCATGCTTTACTTTTAACATTTTCAATCTATTGCATTTTAAGCATCATAGAATTCATGTCACATTGTACATAAAACAAGGAAGAATTTAAATATTAATAAGCTAGCTAAACATTTAATGCGATGATTTTAATGATATCTATCATATATCTTCAGAGTAGATCAATGAGAGTATTATTTAATTCGGGAGCATCAAACTCATTTATAATTGATGAACTGACTAAAGTGATGCGATTGAATATCCTTTTGATGCTTTTGACGCTGTCAATTAGAATATCTAACGACACTAATCTGGAAGTCGATCAATCATGTGAAGTGAAGCTTATGATTGGTGGAAAGGATTTTTATGCCCAACTTATTGTGTAACCCTTGGTGAAATTTGATGTGATTTTAAGCATTGATTGAATGTCTAAAAACTTTGTCACTATTGATCGCAATAAGAAGTCTCTCAAAATAAATTTACCTGAGGAGGTAGAAGCTAACTTTTTAGGTGATAGAAGACTAGCATCTATGTTAATTACTTGCATGAAAGCTTTTAAGGAAGTATAGTCTTTGACTCATGGAAGTCAAGGTTTTCTTGCTTGAGCAACAAATACTTCTAAGGAAGTATAGTCTTTGGGTGATATTTCAGTGGTACGAGAATATCGAGAGGTGTTACTTGATGATTTACCAGGACCACCACTAGTACAAGAGATTGATTTCAGTATTAAGCTCTTATCAAGTTCTGAACTTGCATCCAAGACACCCTATAGAATGACAGTTAAGAAGTTACAAGAGTTGAAAAGCCAGCTGCAGAAGTTACTAGATAAGAGGTTTATCAAACATAACACCTCATCTTGGGGAGCTCTAGTGTTATTTGTGAGGAAGAAGGGTGAGAGCTTCAAGATTTATATGACTAAAGAGAATTGAATAAACCCACATTTTAAAAATAAATATATTGCTGAAGATTTATTTTATAAATTGGAAGGGGCCTCTATATTTTGACTTAACACAAAAAATATTCAACATATATTAATGATTTAGGTGACAAATCAATATATATATATATATATAGTGAATTTAATCGTGATTTTACTATATATATATATAATTATTAGATTTGTGAATCTATAAAAATGAAGTGATCATTTTGTTTTTTTGTTTGAAAATTGGGCCCCTTTTTTTCACCCCTAAAAAAAAAAATTGTCCCCTTAAGAGTTTCACCAAAACGGCTTGAACCGATGGCCCGCGCAACCGAGTCCTAAATCTCGACAATCCGTTGACGCTATTTTAATTTTGTATTTACAATTTTAGGGCACGCAGCTATTCCCTCCCCCTTGCTTACTATTTACGTTTCCGATTTCTTGATATCATTTTGTTTTTATTTATGTTTCTTAAATTCATAAATTCTCCTTGTTACTTCCCTCGTTCAATCGGGCTTCTTCGAGAAACCAAACCGACGTGGACCTCTATTCCTTCCTCATCCAACCCTGTAAATACACGAGACGCTCTGAAACCCTAATCCATATTATTTATATTCAAAGCAGATCTGATTCCGCTCCCCTGCCGGCGAGAGCAACGGTTTTTGTCCATCAGCGGCAATCCTGGCCGACCGCCTCTCATGGCAAACGGCAAATCTTCAAATCCGGAGAACCAAGCCCTCCGCTCCGGAGTGCGCTCCGGACTCAAACGCGAATTGGCCTTTGCCCTCCAGTCTCAGGCCAGCCTACCTGATTCTCTCAGTCGGACGCCCGGGGGGCCTGCGGCGGCGTTCCCCGCCGCTTCGCGGTCTCGCGGCGCCAAGAGGTCCAGGAAATCCAATGCTTCTGAGGAGAATCGAACGATTTGCGGGCCGGATGCGGCGGTGTCTATCGGAGTCGGTAACATTCCATCAGGAGGAGTCGCTGCTGAGGTTGCAATCGTTAATACGATAAAAGAAGGATCTCAGAATGGTGCGATGGATGCTCCAACTTCGTCAGAGAATATACAAGGATTGGATAAGGATGGTCTCAGTTTGAATGCTTTAGTCTTCGATGACAGCAATGAAGGGTTGGAAGATGAGGTCCCGCTAGAGAAGCCGGTTGTAATGTATAAAAGGTCTGTTATAAAGAGTAAGTTGGACAACTTCGCGAAAACTCCGCTACCTCCATCGCCATTTCCTTCCTTACAGCCTGTATCAGTGGCCCCTGAATCGCTCTTTGAGAGCGATAAAGATAAGGCGAGCGGTTGTCACCTGGAAAATGGACCGGCGATGGAGCATCCAATTGTGTCAAAGCGCCGCAGTGACTACAAAATTGATAATGGAGGGGCAGAGAAGCGAACAAGGCGATTCACCAGGTCGGCCTTAAAGCTAAATCCTGTTACCAAAACTCCTATAGCCATTGAGCAGGAACAGAATCATGTGGAAGTAATGCCTTCTTCAGCAACTTCTCTTACAGTCGAGCAGGAAGAGAACCCTGTGGAAGTAATGCCTTTTTCAGCAACATCTCTTACTGTCAAGCAGGAAGAGAATTTGGTGGAAATCCCTATCATTCTTGATGAACATGGCGGATTAGAATTTGAGAATGGACATCTGGATGGGTCATTGAAAACTGAAATTGAAGGTCCTGTGGCAGTAACAATAGCTTCAGGAAGTGGTGAAAATCTTTACTTGAATGAAATGGATGATGCGAGTCAATTGGAGAAACCTTCCCGTAGATTTATGAAGTCTGTGTTAAAGGGTGCAATTGAAACACCTGCAAATGCAGAGGGGTTTACATCTACCAGTTGTGATTCTGTTGGATCAGAGGAATTAAAAGGGGATACGTATACTCTTAGTGAGAGTCTAAGTATGACTCCAAAGTGTAAGATGGAACTGAAAATGTCAAAGAAGATTACTTTGACAAAGCTTCCATCTAATGTCAGAGATTTGTTAGGCACTGGCTTGCTTGAAGGATTGCCTGTGAAGTACATTTCTTGCATTGGTAAGGTATGCTGGTATCTTTTTGTTAGATTTATAAATTTTTTTTTTGCGTTTTGCATTGAAATACACATCTATTTAGGTTAGTGTAGTATTTTAACTTGACTGGAGTTTTTGTTGTTGTTGAGTTTTTACAGAATTTTGGGCTTCAGGGTGTCATAAGGGGAAATCGCATATTGTGCTCTTGTCCCTCATGCCAAGGAACAAACGTAAGTGCTTTGTTAATTTGACTTCTCTGTTCGTTTTGTTTTCATGCTTTTTAGTGGCAAAACATTGCCCACCATTGTTGTTGGAATTTTAGGCTGTTTCAGCATATCAGTTTGAGGTTCATGCTGGTAGTACCAAAAAACATCCATCAGATTTTATCTTTTTGGAAAATGGCAAGAGTCTTCGGGATGTGTTGAAATCTTGCATTGGTGCGCCTCTGGACATGTTGGAAGTTGTAATCCAGAATGCAATTGGTCCCTCACCTCCAAAGAATCTTCATGTCTGCAAGAAGTGCAAAGGTGAGAATAAGCATGGCTTCTAGTGCTATTCTCTCTCTTTTTTTTTGATGCTCCATGGGATAGTAATTTTTTGTTCAGGTGTTTATATTTCAATTGTTTTCAGAAGCTTTTGATACTGCACGCACTGGAAATTTTGCTTTATTATGCGATTCGTGTCTTGAAATTAGCCCTCGTCCGGCAACTCCAACCACATCAAATGGGATGACCAACTCTTCCAAGTAGGTTTATTCCATGAGTTGAAAACTAGAATTCTATTATACATCTATTTTAGCATATATATGTCAGTCATGTGTGGGTTGTGTGATTAACTATTTCGTATGATTTTCTTTATTGGACTATGTTTCTATTTATATTATAAGTTCTTTTGAAGGTTGGTACTTGTATTATGCTTATTCACTGTTCTAGTTTTCCTAGGAAAGTTTGTGTACCTACTGCATCTGATGGCAAGCCTAAGAGCATATCTTTGCAGAAAAGACCAAGCTACGGAAAACTAACAAGAAAGTTAGTATCTTTATTTTTTATTATTATCTAGTATTATTAGTATTCAGTCTCCACAAGCTACTGTTTTTCTTGCTTTTTTTTTCAACTAATAGTATCTGGTTGTTACTTATTTTACAAGGGATTTGGGACTACACAAGTTGGTCTTTATGGATGACATCTTGCCTCAGGGAACTGAAGTAGGATACTATGTTCGTGGAAAGGTGGTACTTTTCAGATGATTTAAGTTGTAGCTTTATGGCATTCTATACTGCATATTAAATTGTTGAAAATGCTTTTTCTTTCTGTTGACAGAAGTTGCTTAATGGTTATATAAAAGATTCAGGAATATTCTGTTGCTGTTGCAACAATGTGGTAAGTAGTATATTTAATTTATTTGGCGTAATATTCTAGTAGTTTAGGTTTGTGCTTTAAGTTTTTTATTGAAGACGCGGGAAATCACAAAGCCTGCTCCAAATGGTTGAGATCTGGTCTGGTTTTTGGCTACAATGCTAAGTTCTGTCGTTTCATTTATGAATAGGTCAGTCCTTCACAATTTGAAGCTCATGCTGGCCAAGCATCAAGACGCAAGCCGTGAGTTAACGTTTGATTATCATTTGCAAAATATGATTATTCTTTTGAATTTTTGAATCATTTTAAACAATTCTTATGCTTTGTCTTTTTGTAGTTATAATTATATATATACTTCAAATGGAGTCTCGCTTCATGAGCTATCAGTTTCCTTATCAAAAGGCCGTAAATTGTCACCCACGGAAAACGATGATCTTTGTGGCATTTGCGCAGATGGCGGAGATCTTCTACTCTGTGATCGGTGCCCCAGAGCTTTTCATAAAGGTATGCCTTTTGCTTTTTATAAAAGCATCAGATTATCTCATGATGAAATCATGCATCTTCTCCTCCACTTTTATTCAATAAATATCCATTAAATTTTGATTCTGTGATTGTAATTGCGACAAAGCTTCATGTATACTGAGTATGGAAGTTGCAATTTCCAACTAGATATAAAGATTTAACTCGAGGGCAATGCTGAAGTTTTGATTCCTATTTTGTAGTTTATTGAACATCTAATTCACTAATTTCACCAAATATTTTTATATAATTGATGATGTTAAAAAAAAACTTGAATTTGGAGGTTTACATTGGAGTCTAAAGGCATCCGTGCGAGTAGATCTAAAACTAAATACATGGAATGTAATTTTTGTAGTAATAGCTCTAGTGTCAGCGTTGTAATTATAGGTGTTCAAATCATTAAAAGTTGTGATTGGTTTAGATATCTTGGGTCTAATTTTCAAAGTGATGGTGATATAGATGGGGATGTTATTAGTAGAATTCAAGTTGGTTGGTTGAAGTGGAGGAATGCATCGGGCCTATTGTGTGATAGAAAAGTACAGTTTAAACTGAAAGGAAAATTTTTTAAGATGGTGGTGAGATCTGCAATGCTGTATGGCGTAGAGTGTTGTTGAGATGAGAATGCTTAGGTGGATGATTGGTATGACACTTAAAAATAAAATGCGAAATGAATATATTTGTGATAGGGTTGGTGTAGCTCAAGTGGAAGATAAGATTAGAGAGTCGTCTCAGATGGTTTGGTCACATTTAATGTCAACCATCTGATGATCCTATTAGAAGAATAGATGTTTTAAACTCCACTTATGTTAAGAAAGTGAGTGGTAGACCTAAAAAGACTTAGGCATTTTGTATAGAGAATGATCTTATTCTGTTAGAATTAAATGAAAATATGATACACAATAGGACGCAATAGAGAAAAAAGATTCATGTAGCCGACCCCACTTAGTGGGATAAAGGCTTGTTGCTGTTGTTGGTAAACCCAACCTTCCTTCCATTTGCAAGTCTAATAAATGTAATTAATTTTTTGGACGCCATGAAATTTTTAGATTTGTGAAGTGTTTATTTTGTCACGAATATTTAAGAATAAAGAGATCTTGATTATTTTAATTATAAGGAATCAAATTTATCACTCCAAAAATGAAATTTTATTTGTTTCAATGTTATGCTGAAGTTAATGAAGCTAAATAGGACGCAATGGAGAAAAAGGATTCATGTAGCCAACCCCAATGTAGCCACCACATAGTGGGATTAAGGCTTTTTTGTTGTTGTTGTTGTTGTTGTTGTTATGCTGAAGTTGATGAAGCTATGTATGGTGGAGTATTGTCCAACCTTAGATGTATTTGCAGACTAATGAAGGAGTTCCCAATTGCATATGCTGACATCAAACATTAATACTAAGTTTGTATACTTTTGTTTTGGTTATGGTAAATGAGAAATCTATAGTTGTTGGCAACTCAAAATGTTTTTCTATGAATTATTTATAAATTATAATTTTTATTGGTCTTAACAAATTTTTTTTGAATTTTAAGTTATACTCAGGTAGTTGAGTCAAACATGCTCGAGTATGTTGAATATGAATTCTAATTTGCATTTCATTCTTGTGAGTTTCAAGCCGCGTTTTGTATTATGTAATTTTAAACAAGGTTCGGACAATAAAGAAAATATGTTTAACTAAATAATTTTGGAAGAAATGAGAATATGAATGTGAATGCTTGGTAAAACTAGAAAAAAAGTGAGAGATGATATTCAAAAGAAGGGTGATTAATATAATTTCTAAAGATAAAATCGTGATAATATTCTCAGGTGGATTTAACTTTTGCAATAGAGGTTGATGATGTAAAGCAATGCCGATAGATAAAATAAATGTTGAAGAATTAAGAGGAAAAATCAGTAGATAAAAGGTGATGGCTTGTTATTGTGCCTTATAATTTTGACACTGCTCACAATATTTATTGAAATGCCTTTTTTTATAAAGCCAACCTCAGTATTGGGATGATCCTAATGATTATGATGATGATGATGGTTTGCATCCCGTGAAAATGTTAACAGCTTATGTGATTGTCTTTATGATCTCTCTAATTTTGGTGACAAAATTTAATACTTTGTCAATTTCATTGTATTTAAGAATATTTTTATCCGCTCATTTAAGCCTGACTTGTTTGTAGAATGTGTGGGTTTGTCAAGCATTCCAAATGGGGATTGGTACTGTCAGTATTGTGAAAATTTGCATCAAAAAGAGAAGCATCTGGCACATAATGACAATGCCATTGCTGCTGGAAGGGTTGCTGGAGTTGATCCCATAGAACAAATCATGACGCGGTGCATTCGTATCGTCACTACACCAGAGAATGACGCTGGTGCATGTGCATTGTGCAGGTTAATACTTGGTCATGTTTTAACCATATTTTACTTTTTTTCATTTTAAATTGTTGTAATTTCTGTATTGAATTTTGTTTAGGGCTTTATTCATTATATTGGTCTCTCTATTGACACATATCTTGATGAGTAAATAATGCATGCTCATTATCTCGGCAATAGAAAATGATTTTGTTGTATGTGACTTGCGAGGGTTAGCACTTATACAAGTGTTAACTAAATTTGATAGCGTAGTACTTTTTTTCATTGCGTAGTTGCTGAATTTTTATTTCATTGGCATGTTTCTTGCTTTGGTAGGCATGATGCATTAATCCTATGTGAAAATATTGAATATTATAGGTTTCTTTTAATCCGATTGATTTTTAATTTTTCTGTTGCTGTAAGCTACAATGAATTTCTTTCTGATGATTTTACACTGTTCTAGACAGCATGCTTTCAGCAGAACTGGATTTGATCGGTATACAGTTATTATTTGTGACCAGGTATGCTGCCCTTTATCTTTTACTTTTATGTAAGACCTTATTTAGCTTAGATGTCATTTTCCCCACCATTGGCATATCCTCCTAATGGTTTGATGAATTTTCTGCAGTGCGAAACTGAGTATCATGTCGGTTGTCTAAGGGATAATAACATGGCTGATCTTAAGGTGACCTCCTCAAATCTTTTTACTTGACCTCGTGCCATGTTAGTACAAACCTGATCGGCTAAAATTCCACGTTGGTAACAGGAGTTACCTGAAGGTGAGTGGTTCTGTTGCCCAGATTGCAGTAGGATTCATTCTACTTTGCATGAGTTGCTTCGTCAAGAACCACAAGTGCTTGAAGACTTGGATGCAGACATCATAAAGAAGAAGCTTGATGAAAAAGGTCTAAGTAGTGATTCTGCTGCCGATGTAAGATGGAAACTTCTAAGTGGAAAACATGATCCGGAATGCAGTAAACACTTATTATCTCAGACAGTATCTCTATTCCATGTAAGTGTTAGATAGTTATGGTCTGAATTTTGCTACTGTAGTTTTCCATTGCCTGAATTACTTTACATTTCGTAAGGCAAATATTATTTGTGATGCAGTATTTCTGCTTGTATGGATGAGCAGCATAACTGCTTTACTGATCACATTAGGTTTTTCTAAAGTTGCTCAACGTGATGCAGTATGATCTTGAAAATAACCTATAAAGGGTATAGAGATGATGTAAAAGATGCATGGTGGAAAAATAACAATATAAACAAACCCCAAATTTAATTAATGAGATTGTATTTCCCAGAAGAGTTTCAGGCCTTACGCCTGACCATGGATAAAATTCCAGAATAGATGAAGAAGATTTCCAAAATGAGAAGTTTAACTATCTCACATAAAGTTTTCATATTTTTGGATAAAAGAAATAATAAAGAGCTAACAGGTTTCTAGCTAATTAATAAACTACTAACAAAAATACTAGAATTACCTTTTATAGAGTTAGCTAACTAAAATGCTAATAGTTTGCTTGCAATTTGTTTAAAAAGTAATTTTATTGACTAGAATTACCCTATTCAAACAATGAACTTTAAAAGATAGAAACTAACTCTAATAAAATACTTTTTTATAATATATATCTATGTTATATGCCTTGGCTAAAAGAAACTGCACTCGGAAGAGTGATATTGATAATACCCTCAAAATGAACATCATACCAAATCATCTATGCGTTATTGAATGATGGATGGTTCTTCTAATGAACTAAAACGTACTATGATAGTGAAGGAACAATATCAAGCTCATCTAGGAATAGTCTATGGAATCAATGCTCAAATTGTAACACAATGCCAAATGCCCTTAAAGAAATCAGTAAGATTTCTTTAAAATTTCTGAAGTGGAAGAAGATAGATGGCTTGTAGAAGGATGTGGGTTGCTTATGGAGTTCTACAATGATTTATGAATGATTTGTGGAGTCTGGTTGTCATTTTTATCTTTATCCTTTTTTTCTTTCCTTTTTGTTCGTTGATTTTTCTCTTTTTATTTGGTTTGCTTCTTGGGGGTGTGGGGGGTTGTAATGTTGGCTAAGGGCAGATTTAAATTTTGATGATTTGTTGCCAGTTTGTTATAGAAAATTAATGAGATTGTGAGCAGGGTTATTTTAGTGGAGATTGTGAGTTTTATGGATGTTTGTGCTGTAAGAGAGCGGGTACAATCAAATATGGCAGGGAAGAAGTGATTTTGGTGGGTTTGTTATTCTATAAATAATGAATTTAGTGGAGATTGTGAGCAGGGTTATTTTAGTGGAGATTGTGAGTTTTATGGATGTTTGTGCTGTAAGAGAGCGGGTACAATCAAATATGGCAGGAAAGAAGTGATTTTGGTGGGTTTGTTATTCTATAAATAATGAATTTATTCTTAGTGCATTTTGACTCTGCTATTGCATGAACAATAGCTTTATTGCTAAGGACAAAACTGCTATAGTTTTTGGAAAATAGCTGAAAAAGATTTTCAGGTTAATTTTGAAGCGACCTTGCATGTAAAATTGTACAAATTTGTAGCTTTGATAATCTTTTGATGCAAGACGGCCTTGAAGATAAACTAGAAATGGTAATGGATAATATGGAAAGTTATAGAAGATTAATAGTAGTAATAAGATTAAAATCTTTGTGTTTAAACATGGAGTTTGTCTCTCCTCGTAAGAGTTGAATGTCTCAAATAAGATTAATGTTCAAAGCTTTAATAAATGAGAAAGCATCTTCGCATCCAATAGAAATTTTATGAATGCCAAATTAATTTCTTATACTCATGGATAGAAAAAAGAACACAAACTATTAATAAAATACTAGCAAATTGTTAATATTTTACTAACAAATTAAATGACATTTATTGGAATGTCTATTAAAAAGAAAACCTGTAAGATATAAATAACTCCTTTATTTACATGGTAAACTGATCGAAGACATCAAATTTTAATATTTTCCTGCTTAGAGAATGATTTCATCCTCGATAGCATAGACTTTATGCATATACTTACTTTTCTCATTTAAGCTCTATAGTTCTATTTGACTTCTATTTCTTCTCTTTCTTCTCTACTTAAACCCTTCAACTCATCTGAACTCTATCATTCTTGTTCTTCTCTCTGCCTTTTTCTCTTACCTTTTCATATTCAGACTTCCTGATAGACCACCCATTCTTATGCTTCCTTAACCTTTTCCTTGAAACCATTGTGCTTGGAGATTGAATATATATACATATGGACATATCATATTTTGGGAAAATATCACAATGTTACGTTTATATGGATTTCATGTTGAGGTAGACAACAACTGCTATAACGATAAGAATAACTGATCTGTTAGAGAGGTTATTGGCTTGATGGCTTTGGTGATGACTAATTGGGAAGCTGAATCACTTTTTAGACTTCTTCATAAACAAAAGAGTCAACGAGGGGAAAAAGGAATTGTAGGATACCAATAAATAGCAAAAACTTGCTATGTATAAATATATTTATAAAATGACCTAATTTTTCCATTTACACCTATGATTACTATACTAAAAAGATGGCAGTTATCCATTTGCTTCATAGGGCCTCACCAATCTTACCATTGGATTGATCCTTTGGGTCGTCAACTTGATTTCCATCCGTGGGTATCATTTGGATTGTTGATGCGGCAAGGCTAGAAATTTTTTACAGCATATGAGTTTTCGTTATGTTTTGTTGCTTGGTGGCCCTCGCCATGCAACTAACCATTATTGTTTCAACACTTAAATTTTATCTTTTATAAGATTCAAGTTTCATTATAGCATTGTAAATTTTATCTCTTATAAGATTCAAGTCTCATTATAGCATTGTAATGCAAGTTCTTGTGATGAGAATTTGTCCGCGTTAACAAATCTTGACAATAATTTTTGGATTCCTTCCATGCGCATCTATGGCGAGGAGAATATTTGATGGGATCTATCCCTTCTGCTTTTTTATTGAGAACCTTATCACAATCTCATTTGTTTAGGTGGCTGATTTGTGTTTCTCTTTCTTTTCTTGGAAATGCTGCTTCTTTGAAATTTGGCCTTGATGCTGTGGGCTCTTGTGCTATGTTTTTTTTTCCTAAGCGCAATAATTTTTTGGATAGTGAGTTTTTCTGTTTCAATTAGGATGTATATTGGAAATATATATGTATTTAGGACATTTTAGTTCTTTGATTGCTATCGTTGTCAATCTCAAGCTGGGTTGACTTAGATTGAGTGTTGATATTGGGTTAATACCCAACCGTTGAACTCACATCAAAAGTAATGAAATGAATAAAAATTTGAAGTTTATTAGTGCCAAGGCGTTGCCTAGAAGTTATATACCACAACTTGATTGCAAAGAGAAGCTAAGATTTGTGAGTTTGTCACCCTTAAGTATTATGCCTCAACATAAATTGATTTTGGGGAGTAATAAGCAAAATTGGCTATTGTCGTGTATTGCAAACAATTGAAAGAAGTTTACTGTTACCGGATTGTTCCTCTATCCCTTCCAAGCTGAACTGGCCAACCTCATGTTCTCAAACTGTGGGTTGTAAGATTCGTATAAGGTAACTGTTGTTCCCTTTGGTTTAACTGCTTGGATGAGAACGTCCTTGCCAAACCTTTTCCTTTAATAGCTACAACCTAAAAATAAAACCAATGAATTCTTCCCCAAACTTAGTGTTGCAAATGAACTGAATCAAGTCGAGCATGAATTTGTTCAAACTTCAGCTTGTTTCTTAAAATTATGCTTGAGCTTGGCCCGAGTTCAGTTCTAGTTTATGTGATTGCATTTAATCTCTGTTCATTTAAAATCATGGTTGTTTGATCTTCGTTTGAACTCAACTTGAGTTTGATTTATATTATGATTATCAAGCTATTGTTATGCAGCTTATTCGGAAAAATAAATAAGCCTTATTAAGCCAATTAGCAAGCCATGCTATCAAATCTCTTGTTAGCAAATTAAACAGGTCATATTCATTCTATTGTTGAGCGTAGCTTGTTAGCTAACCAAGTTAGTCTTGTGGAGCCCATTAATGACTATTGAGTTTTTTGTTAGCTACTCAATAGAACCTAATCGAACTTATTCATGAGCAGATTGTGGGCTTTTAAAAGTAAGATTTTACTTGAATTACTACTTAATGAACAACTAAAACTATTATGTCAATGACTATAAACATGTAACTTGTGTTTATGAACAAAATTGATTTGATAGAAAATAGAATGGGACACCCATTTTTTTTGGGAGCATCACATATTATTTCATAAGATTTAAACAATATGCTAACCAAGGTTACTTTCATACCAAAATAAATCTCTAATGCATATTTTTTTCTTAAGCATCATCTCATAACTTAATTTTTTGCAATGCCTTATTTATTTTATCATTAGGTATTATCCAACTGAAGGTTAAATAATTTAACTAACTAAATATTCAAGAATTAGGCCTCTAACCCTCTTTAATTCATCATCTTTTTTTTAGAAGAACTCCTTTGGAAAATTAACCCTTGTTTTTTCTCTTGCATAGGCTTTATATGATAGTTTCATGATCGCAAGTGAATCAAGCTCCAAGCTGTTCAATTTTGCTAATTTAGCAGTCAAGTATTTATAAAATTTTTCGAGTTTGTTTGATTAACTAATTAAATAATTATGAACAACCCATGAGTACCTTTTTGAGTTTATTGGCTCATTTGCAACTTTCCTTAGAACAAGAAACTCCTAAATAAAACTATAATATGAAAATTATAAAACTACCCTACATAAGAAGACATGAATAATTTCTTAGAAAGGAGAAAATTATGCTTGTAAACATTAATTTCAGGAAAGGTTAATAATTTGAATATGGTTGTAATAGTACCAGATAAAAAGTTGAAAGATAAAATAACTGAGTAGAGTTAGTGATAATCAATGTGGACATTAAGAATGTTGTTTATATTTATACTCTAGTTTTTTTAGAAGGCTTTTAAAAAAATAATTTGTGAAAGAGAGGGAAGAATTGAGAAGAAAATATA